CCAACATACGTTTATAAACCGATTGGTCGTACGTACGGCACTTCAAAAATCAATTCTACGCTGTATATTGCACATGTGCTTGACGTGTTGGACAGGCGCCACTGTCAACATTCCGGGGACAATGATACGTTTTGTAACTCGTCTGATGGTCGCAAAATTGTTCGTTGAGGTATATGTTCTCATAAAAGTTTGATTGACTGCGTTTTTTTTTTCCAAACCTCGCTTGCTTGAAGTTAATGCCACCTGTTGACTGGTTGTCAATCGGCAGTCTGACCCATTCTAGCTTCGTCGTGTAATCGTAAAGCTATCTTCAGAGGGTGTCGTCCATCATGGCGATGACATCGACGTCGACGCCGCCTCAACCCCTGGACGATAGCGAGGAGGACGATAACGGAAAAGAACACGCCAGACCAAAACCGAAAAATAAGAAGGCCATACAGGAAATCCAAGACACGCGAACCAGGAGAAGATACGAAGCCTTGCAGAGATTGAGCGCCCGAATGAGACACAGAGCGAGTATAGTGAATAAGAAGGAGAAAAACCGTCTGCGAATGCAATACAATCAGATCGACAGATCAGAAGAAATTCTAAGACTGCGAGTGAAGAGGGTGCGGGAACAGTTGGAGAGGGAACTACACGACATGGAGGCATGTAGAAGAGCCTACATCAGCCATCCGATGAGTTTCCACGACACACGCAGGGAAGTGGAGTTGAAAACGTTGGAGAAGTACGCTCCTCGCGGGAGGTATCTGTTTGTGATGAAGTCCGAAGTTAGGAAGCAAAGCGACGAGATTGACTCGTATAACCCCAGGGTAGAACGAGCCAAGAAACTGGTTGCGCCAGCAAGACAGGCAAGTCTACAGGCCATAGAAAGGAGCCGACTTTTAAGAATACCAACTGCCCTGAAAATTACGAGAAAAAGAACGTTTGTGTTGCCACCAATTGACGATGAAAAACGTTCAGTGCCGATGCGAAGGGAAAGGATCGACCAATCCGTATACAGTAGGGCGCGCTGAGAGTTTGTTAAATAATTTTGAAAATCGATAATACGGTTCATCGCCATTTGAAGGGTGTAATTTTATCTACCGCTACGCCGGTCAAAGTAACATATGTAGTCGGTCATATCATTCGCCATAAACACGAAACAACTCGTTTGATCGAGAATGAACATTTTTCACGCCTTTACGTATTTGTGTGTGTAGTTTTACAACATTTTACAAGTCATTTTATGACATTCAAGGTCATGTAAACCAACGAAGAGTGTAGAATAACTTATAAATATTTATCGGAAACGTTACAATTGTATTTTGTTATTATAGTGTAAGTTTACTTTAGACGTGAAAGACTGGGGTCAGGTCTCATAACTTCAGCTCGGTCAAGTTGACTGTTGCTGCATTGTATTCAGTTCCGATTCTCAACATTTTCCACTATATTTATTGCCTACAATGTAATAAACCAAACGACGCTCACTGAAGCGTCTTTCGGACGTTCAGACGCCCGTGTTTATGAATGTAGTTCTCATTGGCTTAACGGAAAGAAACTGCTGGCAAATTTATGAAATGCGAATCCATTTATTTCCCCGCGCTAAAAAACTGTCCAGTTTCAGTGAAATAATAATATATTATGTCACAATTGACGTCGATTTGTCTATTTTAGATGAACAAAATTAATTGTTTCCGTTCCAACATTCTACACTGCATGAAAGTCCAACCTGTAGTCATGGCAACGCAGTTTATGTTTTTTTCAATTACGTTATGACGGGCTTCCGTATGATTTCCTGCATTCTAACACCAACGAAGTGAATTGTAGAACGTCTGTTGCAATGCGAGTCGTATGTGACCCAGGTACTCCCGTTTGCATTATTAAGTCGATTCAGTTTCTTTTCAATCACGGACAGCTAAAAGGTGTCGGTAATGATTTTCTCTTGTTGCGAGATACACTGTAACAATCTCTTGTCCAATTTATTAAAAAAACGTTGCTGAGCAAATATAGTTATAACATCGAATAAACGCTTCTATTGAGAACGGTTTGTTTCCCACTGTATCCCTGCAGTTACCGCGCACAAAGGACTGAAACATGCATTGTATGTCAGTTTCATTAAACTGCTTTTCAATTTCATCCATGTTCATTTCACCCGTGTTAGTTTCACAAGAATTCAATTACTTTATTTGTAGACAGTTATCGCAGATTAGTCAGTCTATCTTCAAATCTTTTATAATGCTCTAGATTGTGTCCGTCAAGAACGAACTCACCTGTCCAAAACTGGTATTATTATACATCTATCACCGTAACGCCATAAGTTACAGCGTTCCGTAATTTTGCAGTATTGCATTAGGTATTTCCATCCTAATATATAAGGAAACGCGAATTCCAAATATGGAACGATTACGCGCGTAAGCGTCCTCTAATAATAATATAAAAAAACATGGCAACCCCCAGGGTTTGACTGGACACCACACAAAGAAGTTCGCTAAATCTGTTCAAAACTTTTTGGATTTCGGCATTCCCATGATGTAATCCTGGAAGGAAAAGATGTATAATAATAATGTTATTATGAGGATACTGCAAAGTATGCACTCGGACGGTACGCGGTCTCATCAACCTTCACTGCGCGTCGGTCGATACTGCCGCTGTACTTTTTTTTTAATGTAACAACTGCCGCTGTACTACCTTCGTACAGACTTTGCAGTATCTTCGTAATAACCTCATATTCATCGTCGGCGTGAGTTTTGACCCGATACTACATCTGTGTATCGCTCTGTCGATTGAAATATAATGTCTTCGAAAAAAAAAATACCCGCATTTTCAAACAATATTGCTTGTTGGTATACATACTAACAGTGTTATGATATATCTTATTATAAGTAGAAACGTTCGAGTGCAATTGTGGATTACTTAGGTGCGCATGCGCGTTTAATAACTAGTACGCATGCATTATAAAAATGGCTTCGCTCTCCATAGGTTGAACTTGCAATTGCTATACGAGTTACTTCAGTTGAATAAGCAGACGCGTGTTTCTTATTATAATATAGTTTACGATAAATCACTTACGACAACGAAGTTGTTGTTTTTGCTCACGTGTTGTCCATGTCTCGTAGTGAATGTAACTTCAGAACCCAGATCACATTTCATTGATATTCGAAAGAATGGCATATTTTGATGTTATAGTAATTATCATATGGTCATAATTGAAACAAATAGGCACAGTTGCACTGCAATTTAAAAAAAATCAAGTGGCAATATCATATTATGTTATTCTTACATTCAGCATAGGTTAGCACTACAAGACTGAAAACAAACATGGGAACATGGGGTGAGAGCGGGGTGATGAACTGTTTGGTAAACTGGAGTTCTAATAGAAAGGGTATGTAGTTACGTTTAACTGAACACATGTTATAATTTAGACGATTTGCAGGTGTGAACAAAAACTGGGCGTATATACAGAAACACCGCAACGGCAGAACGCCACCAACAGTGAACAAGCCACACTAACTGGTTTTAGCTGTTACCGCTGAGGGCAGTCAAAAGACGACAGTTAGTATGGCCGACTCGGATGGAGAGTACTTAGTACCCGAAAATGTTTCTCCGAACAGTGGCAATAGACTGTACAAACTAAAAGCAATATAAAAGACGTGAAAGAAAAGCAACGTTATATCTTTCCGTCATATAATTCACACACCACTTTTTTCAATGGTTCAAGATTATTTACCGTCGATATATTAAATGGCGGTGGTCGTCGCAGAGCGCGTGCTCGAATTCAGTGTAAACAATCTATGCCCTTTAACGATTTCAAAGCTCGTAAACGGTCATATTATGGTTTAAAAATTGACCGGTGCCACTGTAGTTTGGTTATTATATTGTCAAGGACCCTCCTGACGAGTATTACAAAACAGTTGGCACTCTCTCACACATCGGTGTACTATAGTGATATTTGAAGATAGGAAGGTCTGAGTGCAAAAATGTGATTAGTATGTATTAAGTAAATATGAATCAATGATAATATCAGTGCATTCCATTCGATTTTGTGTTTGTAATATGTTTACAGTACGGAAAAAATGCTCTCATTTTAAGGTTGGTCCATTATCTCCAAGCACGTGGTTCTTGATCCTTTCAGTCCGAGTGATCAAAGTTGAAAATAACACATAGTTTGAGCTTCATTTGAACATGACGGACATCAACACCAGGTTACCTATCTATGAAGTCTGTCCATCTTGGTCTGATTCAGCTGTTGACATTTGCAATCTTTAAATCAGTCACCGATTGTGTTAGCTTGTTTATTACTGCCGAATTACTTACTCCAACGTGTGATACAAATTGTATATTCATTGATTTACTTCCAAACTCAACTTCCTCAACTTTTTCAGACCATACAATTTACAATTGTCTTTTCATCTCCTATGTTGGGTGTTTAGTGCATCCATTGTGAATGAACTTATGAAAGTAATGAAGTGCACTAGTAATCTATCACGAGTAAACAAAACACCAAGTTAGAATGAACCCTCCTTACCAGGCACACCAGAAAAACTAATGATGATCAGTTGAAACAAATGTACACGTGCATGCGAGTACCATAATATCAACTTGTCTCTGTGTCTTTTCGTGAACAAACTCACTCATGGCACATCAGAGAAATTGTCTACGACACATGAAATGTCAACCAACATAGCCGCTAGTCGGCCATTTTGAATCAAATCACAAAACAAACTGACGTGCACAAGTGAGCCATCGTGTATGTTGTTCGATCAATTTTTAAATAAAATCGGCCAAGACATGTCTGGAAAATAGCATGACATGTTAAAATAGTTTTAGTTTTCTTCGACGAAAATGACCGTCAATCAGATAAATTACATCGCCTCCCCAAACTCAAAAGTTTTTCAGTTGAGCACAATCTGTAAAAACGCATAAAAACATAGGGTTAGGTATAATTATATCGGATTACCCGACAGAAAATAAATGAACTGATTGAGCAAAATAAACAATTGAGTGATAAAATTGACACAATGGAAAATGCAGGTGATAAAATGAAGGCGCACATGTTACGGAACAATTTAATTTTCCACGGCATTCCACAGAGTGGTTTGGAAACATGGGAACAGACGGAAGAGTTACTATGTGGATTTATTACTGATAAACTGGATATTGACGGTTCACAGATAGAATTTCAGATTGTTCACCGTTTAACTTATGCCCGTAGCCGACCACAACCAATAATAGGCAAGTTTCTTAGGTATAAACAGAGGGATGAAGTTCTACGTGCTGCTGTGAAATTAAAAGGGACAGAATT